TATGCTGCACCAAGGTGTGTCTGCTGTGAGCTGTCCCCAGGCCAGAGCCCAAGCAGGACTGGATGTCCAGATGAGGATAGGTCCCCTGGGCCTTCTTGGACAGAGGGCCCCACCCCTCCACAGCTCCTGTCTAGGCTAGAGCTGCTGCCCCAAAAGGCTGATCTAGGCAGAAGGTACTGTCTTGGGAAGGGGGCCTCTGCCCTTGAGGTCTACAGCGGAACCTGGGCCACCTACTTACAAACACTGACAGTGTGTTAACAAAGAAAGGTGCCGCCTCCTCCCACACCAAGCAATGAGAACTGTGCTGACAGCTGAGGAAACTGAGGCACAGAGAGGAGACTGTATCCTGGAAACACAGTGGAAAAAGCCAGGAAAGGGGGACTTGGCTTCGGAAAACTCCTTGCTTGTGTCCCTCAGGCTGGATTGACTGTCACTACAAACTGGGCCCCCATTCCAGGCTCTCCCTTCTCCCTTCTGATGGGGAGCCTAGGATGGGCTGGGCAGGGCAGGGGTGAGAGCTCCCAGAATCCTCTCTTGCTCTGTGACTCTGAGAAAGTGGCTTATGTCTCTCTGAACCTTTACCTCCACTTCTTTTACAACAGAGCCTAGTCATAGGGATCTTGGTTTCTGCTCCACTTCCAGCTGTGACACCTTGGAAAGTTGTTGACTCCTCTGGCTTTTGGTTGCCCACCTGCTGGCTACCCCCAGCCTGAGTCAGTGTTCCTACAAGTCTTTGGACACCTAGGCTCCGAGGATTCAGGGAGGTTGAATAACTAGCCCAAATCTATCAGCAATCTTTGATTTCAATTTCTGGAAAGAGAAATCCTGGAAGAGAATATGAAGGGGCCAGCTCCAGAGTGGCAGAAGGGAATGGGACTATCTGACCCTTTGGCAGGGGTATAGTGGCCCTGTGTCCCCTAGGCCACTGGCTCCTCTTGTTCCTGTAAATAATTAATTAGCCCCTGCTCACTTGTTTGTTTAGCATGAGGAATGCTCCCCCACTGAGACACATTTATTGCTGAATAAATTTAAATATCTAATCTCCTCTTCATGAATATTACAGCACCCTAAATAGCAGCCAACAGTCCTCAGTGCCATACTGGAGTGGTCCCACTGGAGCCTGCCTTGGTCAGGCTTTAGCCCCTGACCTGTCTGTCCTTACTTCTCCAGCCCCTGCCCCTGGCATGGGACAGCTCCTAGGCCCTGCTCTGCTCCCCGTCCTTGCTGGAGAGAATTGTGTGGGGACAGGGAGGGAGGTATCTTCTGAAGGTCCCAAGCTGAAGTTAGGGTAAGGGGTCTGTCCGTAGTTACCCAGAGGATGGGCTTTGGGAACCTGACTAGACAGAAGGGCAGGGGCTGAGGTACAGTTTAGAGAGGGCAGCAGCAGAGGGAGGGTCTAGAACAGGAGAGCTCAGAGTGGACAGGAAACAGCTGGTGTCCCTAAGAAAGCCTTGGTGGGTGAGTTGAGCAGTTCAGAGAGATGAGGGTCCCCAAGGCAGACACTCTGCTGGGGGATGTGTTGATTCAGGGAGAGGATAGGTGCCACACTGCCCGGGTGGAGACAGAAAGTGTTTGGAAGAAGCAGGCAAACGCTGGCCTGCCCACCAAGGGTAGGGGGTTGGCGGGGGTGGCAAAGGCAGCTACTTTGTGGTCCAGGAGAGCCCCTGAACCTTCAGTGCCCAGTGTGTGGCTTGAGTCAGGTTTTGCTATTCGTGCCTCAGTTTCTTCTATAAGAAGGGGTTGGTAGCGCCTCCTGAGCGGGGGAGGGGGTGAGACTCCAACAAGACAACCAATGGAACTGGCTCAGCACCCCACGATGCTTACTGCAAGGAGGTCCAGTAGGGAGGAGGGGAGGCAGACTAGCTCCATCACAATGGAGGAATATTCATCTTGGACCTAGTAGGCAGGAAGTGGACAGAGGAGGATGACCAGGGAAGACCTAGGCTGTCTGCTGACCTGGGGACTGAGCTATCGGCCTAGGTGTTTGTTGTTGATATTTGTCTGTTGAGACAGAATTCTATCATTATTCTAACTGGCCTCTGCTTCCCAAGTGTTGGGATTAAAGGCACAAGTCACCACCCAGGTGAAGAGCAAACCGCCTGTGGGCCTTCAAGAGGCTGACCTGTGGGTGGGAGGGACCAGGTAGTCTGTTTAGGGGAAACAACACAGATGTGGTCAGGGTCTGTCCCTCATCTTTACTTTAGGGGAACCCTTACCCTAGGCACTCACTGAGTGTCACAGTCACGTGGCCCAAGCCCTGTGTCAGTCTTCCCCACCCCCCCCCCCATGCCCTCACATTCCCAAGTGAGCCCCCAAGGCCAGCAGGAGCTGTAAAGTCGCTAAAACACAGTGCCCCCAAGCAGTGCTTCCAATGACCTGTAGCCAATTAAGGTCACCTGCAGGAGGCTTCACACTGAAGTAACAGATAGTGGGGTGCCAGGAGGGTGAGACTGACAGGCAGGGCCTATAGGCTCCAGCAGTACTCTCTGTACAGACCCCCGTGCGTGCTGTGAGCCTGATGCTGTCATATTATAATAAGGGCTAGGTCACTTTGTTTCTGCTCAAGCCCAACACAGCTTAACTAAGTAACAAGAATTATTGGTGTGGTGGCACACAAAGGTGGGTCTCTGTGAGTTCAAGGCCAGCCTGGTCTATAGAGCCAGTTCTAGGACAGCCAGGGCAATTACATAGAAACCCTGTCTCAAAAAAAAAAAAAAAAAAAGGGCTGGTTAAGAGCATTGTCTGCTCTTCCAAAGGTCCTGAGTTCGATTCCCAGCAACCACATGGTGGCTCACAACCATCTGTAATGAGGTCTGGTGCCCTCTTCTGGCCTACAGACATACACACAGAACAGAATATTGTATACATAATAAAAAAAAAAAAAAGCCTGACTTCAGGGGGTCAAGAACACAGGTTCAATTCCACATGGTGTCTTATAACTATCTATAATCCCAGCTCCAGGGGGATTCGGCAAACATAGTGAACATACATGCATGTAGGCAAAACATTTATACACATAAAATAAAATAAATAAACCTAAAAAGAATATCAAGAAGAGCCAGGCGTAGCGGTCTACTCCTCTACTCCCAGCACTCAGAGTGGAGGCAGGAAGGTTGGGTGTTAAAGATCATCCTCAGCACCTAGCAAAGCTGAGGGCAGTTGTAACGTGGGGGAAAGAAAAAACAAAGCACAACAAATAAAAGAGGAAACAGAGTCAGCTGGTGGTGGCGCAGGCCTTTAACCCCAGCACCGGGAGGCAGAAGAAGCTGGGTCTCTGAGTTCAAGGCCAACCTGGTCGACAGAGTGAGTTCCAGAACTTCCAGGAGCCAGGCGGTGGTGGCGCACGCCTTTAATCCCAGCACTCGGGAGGCAGAGGCAGGCAGATCTCTGTGAGTTCAAGACCAGCCTGGTCTACAAGATCTAGTTCCAGGACAGGCTCCAAAACCACAGAGAAACCCTGTCTCGAAAAACAAAAAACAAAACAAAACAAAACAAAAAACAAAAACAAAAACAGAACATCTAGGGCTACAAAGAGAAACCCTGTTTCTGAACCACACACACACCCCCCAATAGGAAAAAGAAAAAAAAGAAAAAAGGTCAACTTACTTAGTGCTGAGGTGTAGCTCAGCAGTGGCTTGTGTGCCCTGGGCTCCATCTCCAGCACTACCCCACCCCCCAAAATTGGTTTTTCCAACATCCTATGAGGCAGGCACTATTAGAACCAGAGTGATGTGGCCAGGATCACCCAGGCCGCTCAGCTCCCTTTGCCGCTGCCCTGCACTGTGCTGGGTCCTTTGTGGCGTCCCACCCAGAACAGAGACATCGTGTGACGCCTGTGAACTCCAGGCTGCACACAGGCTTCTGGGGCAGGGATTCTCAGCTCGGGCTCTGCAGAGGAGGGCAAGGGGCTGAAAGGTACTGTCCTGGCCACTCCCAGGCTCCCCCAACCCGAGGAAAACCACCCAGTACCAGCTCTGAGGAAAGCTGAAAATTAGGTTTAATTGGCCCCTTAGGGCCCTGAGAGTAAGCAGCAGAAGAGGGTGGTGTTCATTTGGTGTCCCCAGATCTGTACCAAGAAGTTGGAGGGATGCAGGAAGGAGCAAGGGTCTCATGTTAGGAATCTGTAAAAATGGAGCCAGAATGGTTTTTTGCCTGATGTCAGTGTAGCCAGGCACCAGGCAGCAGAGCTCCTTGGGGGCAAGCCTGGGTTTCATCAGCCCTGCCATCTCAGGGGCCACTGTCCCCATTTTGCAGTTGAGATGATGGTAAAGCAGGAGAAAATTTATAGCGGGCAGGGGCAAATCAATACTTGCCCCAGTGTGCCTGGGCAAAGCTATAGGGTGCCTGGCTGAGTCAGTAGAAGAGTTGCCTCTGGGCCTCTGCTGTTTCTGGGATATCGAAGCATTGAGGGTTGTTTATCTGGGCCTGGGTCCCCTGGGTCACAGAGAGCCCCAAGAGCTTCCCTTGGGTAAACAAGCCCAAGCCTGGCCTCAGTTAAACAGGATACTAGTTGCCTCACAAGGGTTTGAGAGTCTGGAGACACCTGCGAGGCCTGGTCCAATGGAAAAGCCAGGCTCAGGCCCCGGACTGGATCTGCAATTTGGAACTAGGTGGCCTCGGTTCCTCAGATGGGATTAAATGAGGCCCAAAGTTTGGCAGACCTTGTCAAAAGGTGGGATTACAGGATCCCACCTGATCCTTAGATCTGAGATGACAGGTGACCTCAGGAGGGCGCTTTCTGGACAATCAAGAGGGTGAGGCAGGCGCGCCCCCTGCCGGTCGCCCCGTGCCTTTTCGCTTCAGAGCCGGCTGCTGCTCCTTAGAACCTGTTTCCCTAGATGCGAAAAGTTAACAAGAGCAGCCAGAGGCCTTGGAGAATATTGTAATGACGGGTGGGCCAAGAAATGGATAGCCTTGGAGTTTCTCGGGATTGGGGTGTCATGTCTGATCCGTCAGGGATGAGAGGAACCCAACTGCTCATTTTTCTCGGTTCCCCGCAGTGGACGGTTGCATCCACCGGGCTGCGGGACCCCTGCTCACGGATGAGTGCCGCACCCTGCAGAACTGCGAGACAGGCAAAGCCAAGATCACCTGCGGCTACAGGCTGCCAGCCAAGTGTGAGTGTGTCTTAACTTTCTTTTTCTTTTTAAAGTTTTTTGAGTATCTCTGGCTGTCCTGGAACTCATTTCTGTAGAACAGGCTGACCTCAAACTCAAGAGACCTGCCTGCCTCTGCCTCAGAGTGCTGGGATTAAAGGTGTTCACCAACACGGCCCAACTAAGTGCGTCTTAACTTTTAAGTGTAAGGGCCTGTCCCCTCTGATACCCAGAGAGCAGGTGGAAAGCGGCTGGAACTGCAGCGGGCAGGAGAGCGAGGGGACTGGATGGTCAGGCATATGTACCGCAAGGGTGGGGTCCTTCTGCTAAGAGGCAGGGAAAACCTAGGCTGACTGAAGTTCACCCTACCCTAGACGTCATCCACACAGTGGGGCCCATCGCTGTGGGCCAACCCAGTGCCAGCCAGGCGGCCGAGCTGCGCAGCTGCTACTTGAGCAGCCTGGACCTGTTACTGGAGCACCGGCTGCGCTCGGTGGTAAGTCGCCTGATGTGTGTGTGTGGTGGGGGTTGCCGGGGAGGCGCCTAGTGACCAAGTCCCCATGTTGCCTCGCCCTCCCTTTCCCAGGCTTTCCCATGCATCTCCACAGGCGTGTTTGGTGAGTCTGAAAAAGCAAAGCCTAGCGTGGGCAGTGAGGGCCCCACTCACTGAGGTGGGCAGGGGAGGGACAGATCTGGACTCACCATACCCCACCCTCAGGGTACCCCAATGAGGCGGCAGCTGAGGTAGTGCTGACTGCGCTGCGGGAGTGGCTGGAGCAGCACAAGGACAAGGTGAGAGAATGGTTGGCAGCAAGGCGGGAGCAGGGGCACTTAGTTCTGGACCCGTGTGGCCAGTAGGTACCTGCCCTCCACAGGCTCACTCCTTCTGTGGAAGGTCAATGGGAAGGGGCGACCTTGCCACCTGAATCCTTTATGTTACGGGTGGGCACTGTCAATTCTCAAACCCCTGCAGACAGTACACCCATAGTAGGAAGTTGAGACTCTGCCAGGGTAGGTGGGTTTAAGGGAGCACACAGTACTAGGACTGAGGGGCCAGCTGAGGCCCTGCCAGGCTGAGCAGTCCCTGGCACAGGTGGATCGGCTTATCGTCTGTGTGTTCCTCGAGAAGGATGAGGACATTTACCGAGAGCGCCTGCCCCATTACTTCCCAGTAGGTATGTGCCCTTGTTTCCCTCCAGCAGCCCCCCACCCCCTCCCCCAGGTCAGCCTCCCCCTCCCCCATGGCCCTGGGGCGGCTCTCACTGTCCTCTGCCTTCCAGCCTGAGGCTCCTGAAGCCCACCCTGAATGGGACTGGTAAGCAGGGCCTGGCCCGGGGTGGAGTGGCTGCCCTACACTAACCTGGCCTGTAACACCCGCTCAACCTGCTGTTGCCCACCTCTGTGCAGTGGGGTGGTGAAGCTAGGGAGGGGGCCCTGCAGCTTTCGGAAGTCCTCAACTCCCTCTGACCTATCTGCTCTACCCTCAGACCCACCTGGGCCTGTGGAACCTCGCTCCCAACTCTAAGAGAGGTCTCGGAAGCCAACTGCTTGTTCCAGCCTGACCAGCGCTGGGTTGTCCTTCCCCTCAGCGTATCCTGCCCTCTTTCAGAAGCCTCTTAATAAAGCTGTCTGATTCAGCCTCACTTGTCCAAGTGCTGGGGTCTGGGTCTGACTGGGGCCCAGGAGGAAGGTAGCCCTTGGTAGGAATATGGTGTCTTGGGCACTGTTTTTGCTTCAAGAGGCTACAAGAGCCCTGGGTGCACCAGGCGGGTGAGTGAGGCATTGGCCAGACAGCAGAGGCGGCGGCAGTACTTCACATTTATTGAGGGCCTGCCCCCAAGGAGCTCACAGCCTGGGCTGAGACCCCACATGTGCTGGGTGGGAGGAGAAAGCGAAGAGGCAGGTAATGCAGATATGGCTCAAGCAAGAGGGTGCAGAGCAAGCACAGGCAGGGGACTCTGGGGAACAGTACAGGCAAGCCTTGCCTAGACATGAGGCCTTATGTTCCTCCCACACCAGGCCAGCTCCTCCACCTACCTGGTCAGCCTCCTCCCATAACCTCTCATCTCAGGACTCCTCAATCATGCAGACCCCTGGAGGTGGGCAGAAAGCTGTGACCTGTGGGCCCTGGCCAGAACAGCAAATCTAGAACTAGTCTAAGGGGCAGCTTAGAGTATGGGTGACCAGAGACCTCCAACCAAGTTCCCAAGGAACTTCCAAAGTTCCCATGAAAACCCCTAGAAAGTCAAGGAGAAAAGGGGGCAGACTTTAGGGTGGGTAGAAAGCAGAACTCCAAGGAACCTGGAGGCCTAGCCTCCTCAAACTTCTCTTGGCAGAAATGCTTGGGGGTAACTAGGTAGAAAGCTAGGGGATCCACCCTGGGGGAAGGGACAGCCAGGCACACAGCAGCCAGCGGGCAGGTAAGGCAGGTAAGGCAGAGCAGGGAAACGCACACTCGGGCTCACCACCAGCATCCCCTTTAATAAAACATGGAAGGTGTGTGACAGGATAAGGGAGGAGTGAAAACATGACCATTTACAACCACAAAAAAAAAAAAAAAAAAAAAAAAAGAAAAAGAAAAAAGAAACCAAACCAAAAACCCTCTGTACATGTTTAGCGCCTGGTAGGGGGAGGCAGGCACGGCGCAGCAGGCCAGCCAGCCCTATTTGTAGAGGATATCGTAGTGTCCAGGCCGGTAGAGAAGGTAGACCTTGGGCTCGGAGCCCTCAGGGAAGACGTGTGGGTTGGTGGTGCCACCCTCACCACGGTCCATGTACTCTACTTGGATGGACACGCTGAGGGCCTGGGCCAGGGCGATGATGTGGATATGGTCACTCTCCTTGCACATGGGTTCCACCTCCTGTGGCAAAGGGGCAGGTCAGGCCTGTCCCAAAACCCCTCCCCCTGAGATCCCACACCTCCCCCTGGCATGCTCCACCCTTAAATAAAAGAGAAAAGGAGGGTCCCAGGGCAGAGTTGAAGAGGAGGTGGCACCTGCTGGCAGAACTCCTTAACAGTCCGGCCACCCTCAATGAAGTGCTCGAAGAACTTGCTTTCTCGCTGCAGGTAGCCTGAGGTGAGCAGTCGCAGGTAGACCACAAGGTAGTCTGAGGTGCTCTGGTCATTGAAGGAGGCCAGCAGGTCGGCTACCGAGGTCTGCTTCTCCACCTGCTCGATAAGGTCCATGAACTGCCCCACCCAGGGACAAAGGTTAAATGAGGAAAAATGAGTGAGGAGAGGCTACCCTTACCACAGCCTACAGAGCCACCCTCCCTGCCGGCCCAGCCTGAGACAGCTAGGCTCACCGTGTTGTGGAAGTCCTCGATTGTGAACTCAGTGAAGCCCTGGGACACCAGATCCTCTTTACTCTTGGCAGACACAGCCTTGAACCTGTGTTGGGAAGGGATGTGAGGCCAGCATGGGCTTCTCAGCCAGCAAAGCAAAGGCCTAGCCAGCCCAGTCCTACCTAGACAAGACCACCCACCAAGTTCAAAAGGAAATCCCAAACAACCCAGTTGATGGCTGGCCTAAGCCTGGATCCTGTTCAGCAAGAGGGGCCTAGAGCCCCCGGCGCCCTCCTCACCGCTGCAGCTCCTTGCTGTCATCCAGGAGTGCCTCCAAGTGGGAGAATCCAAATGCTCGGTAGAAGCAGTTGCCATCGGGTCTGGTCTTCCGGATGTAGGAGTATTTTTTGTGGAGGTCCTGCAGAAGAGCGGCCCAGTTTAACATCCAGCCAGGCCAGGGCCAGCTCAAGAAATAGCCATAGCAGAGCCCTCCCTGGAAGCTCCTGGAAGCTATGCACTTATGTACCAACAGGTTGTACAGTCACCAGCTGCTTGCCATGTGGGTGCTACTTATAAAAGCAGATGACCTGTCCTTGGCTAATGCAGCTCTTCAGGTCTTTCAATCCAGGCATGGCAAAGCAGGGGACAGGGCAAGCCACAGCACCAGCTCTCTGAAGATCTGCGGTTCCTTTGCCCGGCAGGGCTCCAGTTACACACAGCAGCTCTCCCATCCACTCAGTCCCTGCCCACAGCCTTCAGCCTTTTCCACCTTCCCCAGTTGAAGCACATCCCTGTGACTCCTAGGGCTGCTGGGTAAGCAGGGTCTCACTCAGCCACCTGGACATACCCAACCCTGTTCTCTTCAGCCTGCCCCTTCCTAATTTACCTGCTCTCTCCCAGGCTACCCCTCACCCTTCTCCACTCTAAAGGGCGGGGCTCCCAAAAAACCACACAGTACCCTCCCTCCAGACACCTGCCAGAGGACAACCCTCAGGCAACGCTCAGTAATCAGAGCCCTTCACACTGAGAACATAGCCCTGACATCTGCCACTTAGCTACCCCAATCCTCACTACCAGCTCATGTCCTCTCTCAGATTCAAGGATATGAATCTAGTTCATAGATTATAGTTTATAGACTCCACAGGCATGTAAGATCCAGATAGGTCTCCCCATAAAAACAGAAACTCCTATGGGAGGTTTTTGTCCAACCAAGGTCAAAAACGAGCTAGAGCTACCATAGCAGGGTCAATGCGGCCTTCCCCGGCCCAGCCTCTGGACAGTGATGCTGTACCCCATCTTTTCTTTACCTGCTCTCTCCCAGACTAACCTGCATCTTTCTCCATCCTAAAGGACAGGGATCTCACCAAACCACACAGTATCCGTCCTCAAGACACCTGCCAGTTACAATACATGCAAACACAGGGCTTCCTGCCTGCCCTGTGAACAGCAGAGACCTGACAGTATCTTCACCTCCTAGTCTGCAGATAGTTTTTTCCTTTTATTTTGGTTTTAAAACAGGGTCTCATTTTACAACTCAGGCTCGCTTTGAACTTGCAGCACTCTTCTGGCCTCAGGCTTTGGAGTACTGAAATTTCAGGCCACCAAACCTAGATAAAGTTCTACTTTGAAGTCGAGCAGTGGTGGTGAACGCCTTTAATATCAGTGCTTGGGAGGCAGAGACAGGAAGATCTTTGAGTTCCTGAGTTGGAGGGCAACCTGATCTGCAACATGAGTTCCAGTGACAGCCAGAGCTACACAGAAAAGCCCTGTCTCAAAAAACAAAACAAAACAGAGTTCCATCTTTAATGCCCTGCCTCCCCTACACCTCTCTTCACTGCCCCAGACAGCTCCACTGCCACAGATGGGTTGCACCAACCTTTTCTACACCCAGGCTTTGAACCACAGTCTCACAGATGACTCATTTCTCCCCAACACATCCACCAAACCCCTTAGGCTCTTCCTTCAACATACCTAGTGCCTAAATGTATCAGTACACAGCCCATTACTGGTCCATCACACCTGCTTCCTGTTCTACTGCCAAGGCCCTTCACTAGTCTTTCCCCATTCTCACCCCCAAAACAACAGTAACCTTACATACAAGTCCTTGTCCTCCCTGCATCCTGACAGCACTCACACACTCATTCCCAGGCCAAACTAGCTTTCACGATGGCCTCCACCTGCCCAGATGTCCTCTTCTTTCTTTCTTCCTTTTTTGAGACAGGGTTTCTCTGTGTAAATAGCTCTGGCTGTTCTGGAACCTGCTTTGTAGACCAGGCTGGCCTCGAACTCACAGAGATCTGCCTGCCTCTGTCTTAGCCATTACCCCTATGTAAAATATAACTCTCCCCCTCCTTTCTCTCCACAGTACTAACCAACTCCAACAACCAAACTGGTGGGTGGGTGGGGTGTTACAGCATTGAGACAGCATTTGCAATATGTAGCCCAGACTGGCCTTGATCCTTCTGCCTCATTCTTTCCCAGGATTAAAGATGACCTTGTTTCAGTCCCAGTAACCGCAGTATCTTTAGCGCCTGGGGCACAGCACCTGCCTGATGGATGTAACATGACCGGTGCACTGAGACTGATCAGAGCCCAGCCACTCTGCTATAAGCTCCCGGGGCACATACAGTCAGGTACCCTGTGGAATGCTCGTCCACAGGGGCCAAGTACACACCCAGTCCTGGCTTTGTCGTTACCACCCAGGAAGAAGAGGAGGGTCTGGGAACAGTACACAGAATGGAAGTTCAGGTGTGCTGAGGTACATTGCTACCAACAGCTTTCTTCAAACATTCAAACACTTTGCTAACTGACTCAATGACAGGAAGAACCTGAGGATTATCCTGTTAGTTTCTCAGGGCAGCCTAGCAGGACAATTGGCCCTGGATGGGGTACCACTCTACTAACTGGCCACAAAGGAGAAGAAAAGCCTACTGCTTTCTACACCGCTGCTGAGCGCTATCAGCACTGAGTTCGACACCTTCCCTGAACCTGCCCCATAGGCTGAAAGAGAGCAAAGACATGAGAAACGTCAGGGCCTTTATGTCCTCACGTGTATTTTGGAGAAACCCCAAAGCCCTGAGCAGTGGGTATGAACAGATCCCACACTAGGCACAGCTGACCTAGGCTGAAAACAGTTATTTAGCACATACATTCCTCCCAAGTGCTAAGGACAGACCTTAGGGCCTTGCAAACACTAGGTTCATGCTACTACCGAGATAGCTGGACTCCAGCCCTATACAACATCTCAAGTTCTCATTAGCCACCAAATGTTTACTCAAGAATTCTGGCTTCTCTGACAACAGGGGATTAACTATGGATATTCCCTACTGTAGGAGTTCCTTCTGTTTGTGTGTTGCTTTCATTGGTTAATGAATAAAGAAACTGTCTTGGCTTTCTGATAGGGTAGAACTTAGGTAGGGGGGGGGAAACAGAACTGAATGCTGGGAGGAAGTTAGGCAGAGTCAGAGAGAGATGCCATGGATCCTCCAGAGACGCATGCTGGGAATTTTATCTGGTACGCCACTGCTATGTGGTGATACATAGATTAATAGAAATGGCCTAAATCAAGGTGTAAGAGTTAGCCAATAAGATGTTAGAGCTAATAGGCCAAGCAGTGATGTAATGAACACAGTTTCTGTGTGGTTATTTTGGGGCTAAGCTAGCTGGGCAGCAGGGATGAACAAGCGGCCCTCTGCCTACAATACCCTACCATGCCTGTTTTTGTGCTACGGTGTCCTCCCAGTTAACTTCTTAGGCAGCTTCATTCACTGGGTTACCCGCTTGACCACCTGAAGGTCCCAGCTCCAAGTAAAGAACATAAACACCTACGATCTACAGAGAAGACTGAAGTACACCATTTCCTACCTCCTCAGGCTGTCTATTAAATACTGTTTTCATACCAGGGTCACAATTCAACCTCCACCGCTCCCAGCCTTTGGGGTGGCTGGTAAAGAAACTTGCTTCGGTTTAAGTGATGCATCAAGGACATACACAGGGGTCTGTCCTCCACAAAGATCCAGACAGACTGTAGGACAGGTCTCTATGTGACCTGTCCACCCATCCCAACACCAGCAAGTTTGGCCCCTGGCTGGATACTGAGTTGTCAGTGCCCACCCAGCCTGCACTTGGTCCCACCCGAGCAACACCTACCTCAACCTTACAGCCACCCTACAGCAGATGCTTTCACTGTCCCTATTTTACAGATGAGGACACCCAGGGCTCAGAGACACTGAAGGACCTGCCAAGAAGACAGCTGCTGAGTGGCAATCTGATGTGAATGGAGGACTCAGTCCAGAGGCTGCAC